CAGACACCATCAGACACCATCAGACACAACCAGACACCAGACACAACCAGACACAACAAGACACCATCAAACACAACCAGACACCATCAGACACCATCAGACACAACCAGACACAATCAGACACAACAAGACACCATCAGACACAACCAGACACAATCAGACACAACCAGACACCATCAGAATCAACAAAACACACAACCAGACACCACCAGACACCATCAGACACAACCAGACACCATCAGACACAACCAGACACCACCAGACACCATCAGACACAACCAGACACCATCAGACACAACCAGACACCAGACACAACCAGACAATATCAGACACAACAAGACACCATCAAACACAACCAGACACAACCAGACACCATCAGACACAACCAGACACCATCAGACACAACAAGACACCATCAGACACAACAAGACACCATCAGACACAACAAGACACCATCAGACACAACCAGACACAACCAGACACAACAAGACACCATCAGAAACCATCAGACACAACCAGACACCATCAGACACAACCAGACACCATCAGACACAACAAGACTCCATCAGACACAACAAGACACCATCAGAAACCATCAGACACAACCAGACACCATCAGACACAACCAGACACCATCAGACACAACCAGACACCATCAGACACAACCAGACACAACCAGACACCATCAGACACAACCAGACACCATCAGACACAACAAGACACCATCAGACACAACAAGACACCATCAGACACAACAAGACACCATCAGACACAACACAGTGTGTATATACAGTATGTGTGTATGTGTGTGTGTGTGTGTGTGTGTGTGTTGACTCACCGTCAGGCTGTAGTACCAGTAACATCAGTTTGTACCCTTAGTGTGAACTGGTGTGTACGTGTGTATATATGTGTGTATATACAGTATGTGTGTGTGTGTGTGTGTGTGCGTGTGTGCTGACTCACCGTCAGGCTGTAGTACCAGCGGCGGTGGGTCACCTTCTTGCTGGCCACCTTACCAGCGTGGTTCTGCCTGAAGTGCCAGTCCAGGTGGTCTGCGTACATGTCTGTCTGCGCGGTGGTGAAGCGCATGCTGCACAGGCAGCACTGGTTACCTGAGTACAGCTTGGTCACCACACTCTCATAACGCCTGGGGGGACAGGGACACAGCATCAGGACTGAGGTGGTCCAACAGAACCCTGTCAGACCAGAGGGACTCACTGTTTCATCAGGTCGATGCTGAAGATGGTCAGGTCTGGTAAGTCTTCATCTTCTACCTCCGGCTCCTCCTCCTCCTCCTCCTCACCTGGGGGCGGGGCCGGAGCTGCAGCAGACGATGACTCTACAGAGGAAACACAAGCGGTCACACCTGAAGGTCTCTGCTCAGGTGACAGTGGGTCAGGTGACTCACCTGTGCTGGATGTGGGCGTGGCTTCTGGCTGAGACGATGGCTTGATGATTCCAGTGGAGATGAGTTTGGACAGCAGGTCGTTGACGTCCACCTGTCCAAAGTGGTTCTCTGGAGGAGCGACAGGATGAGCTGCAGAGACAAACCATGGATGATGACATCACTTCCTGTTTCCTGTTTCAGCTGTACAGCTGACATCTTAAAGACTTACTCTGTGGTCCAAAAGGCACCGGGTTCTGAGGCAGGAAGGCCTGGTTCAGGTTCACCTGAAGAYAAGAGACAGGACAAGATCAGAACCTCCAGGTGATCAGTGTTAGGTGTGTCAGGACAGTGAATAAATGTTTACCTATCTGCCTCTGGGGGCTCAGCTGACCCCTCCCCTACTGTTCTCTGAGTGGGAGGAGTCAGCTCTTACCTGGTCTGTACTTCTTACATTTCGTTGTTGTTTTAAGTACATGTTTTGTTAGACTGAGAGTCCATTTTGTTGAACATTGTTTATAAACTAAAGTTTATTGACCTCTCAGAGGATATGTTCTTACATTATTACACTTTGATCTTTAGATTAGTTTTAAAACGGTCACCTGACACTATTATTATTATTATTATTATTTTTCACAATCATTTCTGACACAATCAATCATCCTGTGAAATGTGTTACTGTGACCGACAGAGGTGGACCTGAGTGGACCTGAGTGGACTCACCGGTTGGTGCAGGCCCACAGCGGGGGCTGCAGGACTGTAGAAGGCCCCGGGGCCCGGCTGGTTGAAGGGGCTCGGCTGCATGTTGAAGGACCCTACAGGCTGCATGGAGGGCCCTGCAGGGAACTGGGGGTTCAGGGCCTCTGGGAACCGCTGGGGGGCCATGTTAAAGTTCTGTTGGGGGACCATGGGACTGTCGTACATGGGCGGGGCCATGGGCTGCATGGGACGCTGCATGTTGGGCTGGGGGGCAAACCTGGGGGGCCCCTGCTGGCCCGGGGGGTAATCGAAGCGAGGGGCCCCACTGGGCATGTCAAACCTGGGCCCCAGCTGTCCAGGACCCTCAAAGCGAGCGGGACCATCAAACCTCATGGGACCCATCTGGTTCCCGGGCCCCTCGAAGCGCAGGGGCCGCTGCTGCTGCTGCTGCTGCTGGAAGCCCATGGGGGCGGGGCCCATGTTGTTGAAGCAGACCGGACCTTCAAAGTGCTGAACCGGACCTTCTAGAGGGCCTGGCCCCCCCACCGGTCCCTCATACCGGACAGGGGTCTGCTGGCCTATAGGAGCCCCGAACCTGACGGGCCCCTGAGGGGGTCCATCAAAGCGTGCCAGGCCGTCTCCTTTCATTGGACCATGAGACATGCGTGGCCCCTCCCCATCACGATGGGGGGCTCCACCATCAAACCTGCAGGGTCCGGGGTGGGGCGGCCCCTCAAACTGTGGCTCCTCATAATGCCCCAGACCCCCCGCCTCGTACCAGCCAGGTCGGTGGGGCCTCGAGGGGCCCATGGGTCCAGGTCCACTGTAACGTGTGGGAGGTTGTCCTCCTTCGTGAGGAGGCGTGTGTCCCGGGGAGTCTCCATGTGGACGGACAGAGGACAGGGGCCCCCCACGAGGCGGACCCTTCACAGAGGCTTTAGGGGGAGGAGCATGGGGGACCTCCAGGGGCCCGTCGTCTGAGTGTTCACTGTTTGGACTCTCGAACCGTGGGACAGGACTCAGGTCCGCCGAGTCCTTCTGATGCAGCGGAGACAGGCGCTCCCGTTCAAAACGTAGAGGAGGGGCCTCTAGACCACCTGGGCTGGGACAGGTCCTGGACCCTGCACCTGAGGGGGACGGCCCCTCAGACCTGCGGGGCTCCGTGGGGGGGCCATATCTCCGCGGAGCRTCGTAACTGCTCTTCTGCTCCTCCTCGTAGACCTGACGCTCCATCAGAGGAGACGTCCACTCCCGCTCACCTGCAGACAACAGAGCCTGTCATTTCCTGCAGTCCCTGAACTCATCACAACAGAAATCCTGCAGTCCTTGAACTCATCACAACAGAAATCCTGCAGTCATTGAACTCATCACAACAGAGAAATCCTGCAGTCCCTGAACTCATCACAACAGAAATCCTGCAGTCCTTGAACTCATCACAACAGAAATCCTGCAGTCCTTGAACTCATCACAACAGAAATCCTGCAGTCCCTGAACTCATCACAACAGAAATCCTGCAGTCATTGAACTCATCACAACAGAAATCCTGCAGTCATTGAACTCATCACAACAGAAATCCTGCAGTCATTGAACTCAACACAACAGAGAAATCCTGCAGTCCCTGAACTCATCACAACAGAAATCCTGCAGTCCCTGAACTCATCACAACAGAGAAATCCTGCAGTCCCTGAACTCATCACAACAGAAATCCTGCAGTCCCTGAACTTACTGGTCTCTCTGGACTCTCGGGGGTCGGCTCTCCTCCTGAACCTGAGTCCGGGCAGAGACTTGAGCTTAGGAAACTCTTTGCCGTGGTGGTACTCCTCGATCATCGGGGCCAGCGGGGGCTGTGGCTCCTCCCCCTCGTTGCTCCTCCTCTCACCTGTCAATCATCAGAGGTGTCAGTGACAGGAACACGCCCCCAGCAGAGACGTGTCAAAGACCAGTCCTCACCTGTTCTGTCCCGTGCCAGGCGGCTGTAGGCACTGCGACTGTTGTCTCCTGGTCCCAGGTCCCTGCTGTCCTCTGAGACGTCCTGTCTGTCCTCGGCTGAGACACGGTGGCTGACCTGCGTCTTCTTCAGCTTGGACTTGTGCTCGTAGTAGGACAGCTCTGCGGCGTCCATGGGTTTCTGAGGGTGGGGCTGGGTGTTGGGGGACATGCTGAGCAGAGACGACTTGCTGAGGGGGAAGTCCTGGGCTTGGTCCCAGACGTCGGAGCGCTGCTGCTTCTCCTCCTGGTACTGGAACAGGTGTTTGATCTGGTGGGCCATGTTCAGGAAGTCCTCCTGGGAGATCTCACCGCTCTCCAGACGCTTGCTGGCCTGCAGGGACACCAGCAGTCAGAGGGACAAGGGGACAGAACAGAGGACAGGTGTGATGAGATGAGAGGACTCACCCTCCTGAGCAGGTCTTTCTTGGAGGCGGAGTTTAGGACTTCAGGTATCTGCAGGTTGGGGTCCACGCTGAGGCGGTGCTTCAGGGTTCGGGGGGTGCCGGGACGAGTCGGGGTTCCGTACAGTTTGTGTCTCGGAGGTCCAGGCTTGGAGCGGGCGTCCTCCAGCAGCTTCAAGCTGAACAGAAAACAGGGATTCAAACCAACAACCCAAAGTCCTGCTGTGTAACAGGAAATCTGGACTCACTGTTTGCTGTCCTCCCAGCCGCTCCTCCAGCGCTGAGGCGTCTCCTTGGACTCCTTTCCTCCCCCGTCGTGTCCTCGGGGGGAGTGGGAGTCCCGGGACTCGGAGCGCCGGTCCTCTGCCGGCCTCTTGAGCCTGCGGCCCTCTGATTGGGTCTTTTTCTGAGCGACCCGGTCCTCTCGGCCCGGTTTGCCGTGCTGCCTGGGTTTCCCGGGTTTGTGGGACAGGGACGGGGAGCTGCTCCGGGCTCGGCTCTTCGGGGAGCGCCGCTCCTTCCTCTTGGGGGAGGCGGTGGGGGAGCGGGAGCGTTTCCTGGCGTGGGTGCGAGCGTTGCCGCCCGTCTTGAAGTCGATCTTCTCGGAGGACTCGTCACGCTCGTGTTTGACCACAGAACCGTTGTGCACTTTGATCTTGGTGGTCCTCAGAGGTTCTGGTCCTCGTGGAGACTCGTCTCGCTCCTTCTTGTCCCCGCAGCGCTTCTTGTCCTTCACCTCGTCCTCTTTGGACTCTGTGGTTTTGTCTTGTGGACGTTTCTTCAGGCGGGGGTCCTTCTTGGTGCCGTCGGCAGGTTTCTGAGCTTCAGGCTCGGCTGGTTTCGTTTTACTTTGGACACTTCTGGTCAGAGGAGACGGAGACTTGGACTGGTTGTCTAAAACCTCTTTCCTGGGGGTCCTGCCTTTGTCCTGCCGGCTGCTTTTCTCCACAGGTTTCCTGTCAGGAGGGACCACAGGACTGTCCCTCTTTGCAGCCGGAGGCTCTTTTGTCAGGGGGCCGACCCGGTTCAGACGGGGGTCTCTGGTGGAAGGTTTGGGCTCAGACTGGGGCAGGGGGGGGATCCAGGGTCGGATGACAGGTGCAGTCTGGGTGGGGGGCTTGGACAGGGAGCTGGATGCTGCAGCAGAGACAGAAGACCCCGGGGGTAAACCAAATCCAGCCTGCAGACAGGAAACAAGCATGTCATCTTCATCATCATCATCTTCATCACCACACAGGCTCCTACAGTGTGAGGACTGTTACACAACAAACACACAAACTGTCAGRAACTCATGAATCAAACTAGTTCTGGTTGAATTGTTCACATATTTCTAACAAACCATTAGTTTTTAACTTTAACAGAAACTCTCTTTGTTGTTTTAAACTTAGAGGATTTAACGACCCAACATTTACAGKTTTAGGACCCACAGTGGGTCTGAACCCCCGCTTGCTGCAGATAAAACCTTAAAGTGTCTGTGACATCAGTATGTTGTAAGAAAAGTGATGCATATTTCTCACTGCTCAGATGAACAGTTGAGATATTTACATGTGAAACAACAGGAAGTGATGTCACAGGGGAATGTTTAAATAAAGTGAAGTGTTAACAGTGAAGACTTCTGACAGATTGGTTTAAGAGCCTTTAAAGGATCTGCAGGACCCCTGGAAGCAGAGCTACGAGGGTCTCAGAGACTCGGACCTGTCCCATCAGCTGAGCTTTGGTCTGCTCCAGCTCCAGCTCGATCTTCTTCTGCTGCAGCTCCAGAAGCTGCTTCTGTTTGGCCAGCAGCTGCTGCCGGATCAGCTGCTCCTGGGTCAGGCTGGACTGGGGGATGACGGGGGCCGGCTGGGGGGCCGGGGTCAGCGCGGGAGGCTGGACCGGGGCCGCCTGTGGAGAGGGCGGCTCCTCTGACTGCAAACAGAAACACAGTTCAGGGTGTGGGTCCTGCTTGTTCCTGTGGGTCAGTGTGGGGGGTCACAGGACCACCTGAACACACCTGCTTTAAAAACCTGGGGTTGACATGGATGGCGGTGGAGGTGGGCGGCGGCAGCGGCTTGATGGGCCAGGCCGGGTCCACGGAGTTGACCCGGACATCCAGAGCGTACAGCTTCTTCAGGGGGAAGACCTCGTCCCACGTGGAGCGCAGCTTGAACAGGGACTTCCTGGTGTTCTCGTCCACCTGCAGACAGAGCACAGGTGTGGGTCCAGAGCTGCAGGGGGGCCGGTCACAACACAACATTAACCCTGCAGCTAACAGCTGCAGAGGACAAGCCACACAACAAACAGGACATGAAGGGTTAACGAGCTGCAAACACAACTTTACCTTTTCAAAGACACAAATAAAGGAAGTGATTAGGTTTTTAGCAAACACTGCAAGGTACTCTCCTCCAACGTTCTTCACTATGGAGTCCACTAAGTACAAAACAGGAAGCTTCTCGTTGGCCGGGGCCTGGAGCACATGAAGACAACTCAACAAGTTTAGACAACAAACAGAGTTAAAACATCGCACAACAGCTTCACATCACAACTTTAACATCCTGAGGAGGCGGAGCCAGAAAAAAATCACAACTTTAACATCCTGAGGAGGCGGAGCCAGAAAAAACAATAACATCCTGAGGAGGCGGAGCCAGAAAAAAACAACAACTTTAACATCCTGAGGAGGCGGAGCCAGAAAAAACAACAACATCCTGAGGAGGCGGAGCCAGAAAAAAACAACAACTTTAACATCCTGAGGAGGCGGAGCCAGAAAAAACAAAAACAAAAAAACTCCTTGCTTCCTTCCATCTTCAGGCTGGAAGCTAAAAACCAGTCCAGTCTGTCCACCATGTCCTCGTGAGGACAGGAAACCAGAGTCCACAGGTCCAGGAGCTGACTCCAGTCCTCAGGAAGGGTTACCTCCAAAGAGGGCTCTTCTTCTCCTCCCTCTTTGTACCTTACTCAGACCAGTCCAGTTTCTTCTGTCGTTTAAAAAGCCTTTTGTCTGGTTTGAAATGTTAAAATGTTTGAGTTTAGAAGTGGTTTAAAGCAGAGGAGCAGTCAGAACCAGCTGCACCAGTAAGAACCCAGAGTCAAACCAAGAAATAAAAAATGACAAAAAGCACATTTCACATGTTTTATTATCAACAGAGGAACCAATCAATCACATTTCAGGTAAATGACTTCRTGCAGAGATGCCTTCAGGCGCTGTTTGCTTCAGCATGCAAACACACAGGGAGCAGGTCCGAACGGGTCAGAACATCAGCTGCTCAAACACTGACGTGGTCCGGGTTCAACCAGAACAACAAACAGTTGTTAGTGTTCACATGAACTGCTGTGAAAGGGTTAATAACTGGAGCTAAGACACCATCTACAACAGGTAAGATATTAACTACTTACAGCTGAACCCACTTCAGTGCTGCTGAACTGTCCTCACTTTAATGTCAGTTATTTGTTTAACTGTTTTAAAAAGTGCTGTGTAACAGGAACACACAACACGACAACAAGTGTTTGTGTAAACAAACGGACCTGAGACCTCACATCTGATCAGAACCACACACTGCAACTATTTATTTTTAACTAACTTTTTATTACAGTTTTTATCATCAGTGGTAACATGTGAGTCTTCACCTCTAAACCAGGATTAAATATAATCAAAACTAAATTTTGAAACAGTTTTTTTGAGTAAAAACACCTTAAAGTTTTGAGGTTTATCCTGTGAGCTAACACTTTGTTTCTTTTCAGGTGGAAAACGTAAACATTCAAGATTATTTATAGTTTCCTCTTTATAAAAACATCAAAACTCCTCATTAAAAGGACTTAATTAATATTTATGTATTATTGTAACCAACAAGACCAATTACGTCATATATATGGATTTAATTATGACATCATTGTGATGCAGGTATTAAAATATAACTTTTAAAACAGGAATCATTAAATATAATGAGGTCATTTTAATATGATGACTCACATTTTAAACACTGAATAAAGAGACTAACTTTAAAAATAAAAGTTTTACAGATATGTTGCATCCCTGGTAATTTATCTCTTTATTTAGCTTAAAGTTTTATATTTTTACATGAAGACATTAATGATCTTTAGGCTGTTATTTGTTGTTTATTTTAGGAACATCAGCTAATAAACAGTTGTTTACACATTTTAGTTAGATAAAAACACATTTGTAAGGCACACGTTACATGTTTTAACCTCAGATTAACTGTATTTAATTAAATGGATTTAAAGGTGAAAACTTTGAATTTAGTGGTTTTATTGTTGAACCCGGGACCACATCAGGTTTAAACCTTAAACTGAGACGACTTAGTAAATAAAACCTGAAACAACCTTTCTGATTGGTGACAGATTTAATATGTTTAAAACTTTATTACATTTAAGATGGAGATGAAGGAAGCAGAGCCGCCAGTGCTAATGCTAAAGCTAATGCTAAAGCTAACCAGAACAACAACGACATGTCGGGCTGACGCCTCGTTCAACCGATACATCCGAAATAAAAGTATTCTATTTTCATAAAAACCTTGCTTATTTGAGCTTCAATAATCGCGACGATATCCTTGGCGAACTGGGTGTTCTCTTCGGCCAGGATGGTGAGCATGTTGATGTGCGGCTTGCTGTTGAACGTCAGGTCTTCCAGGGACGACTGGTACTCTCTACACGCGTCCTCCTTCGCCGCCGCGTCCTCCATCTTCGACACCAGCGACCCGGGAACACCTGCTGCGGCCTGATGGACACCAGAACCACGGATCAGCAGGCAGTCCATCAACTCATCCGGCGAACCGTTCGGACACGACTCGGTGACAGAACACGCCGGTCTCGGGTTTATTTCAGCCGCCGTTGGTCGCTCTTCTCCGTCCCTTTCCTTCATAAGAAAATGGCGACTGGAACTGAAGTCCTCATACGTCACAAGACTTTCATTTATACCAACCGTGACGTAGGCGCGACCCTATTGGTTGGCTTTAGTTCGTCCTTCTCCGGGTTTAGAATCTGATTGGTCGGATGAAATAACAGTCACATGAAGGAGCCAATGAGAGAGCAGCAGCTTAAAGTCATGATTACATAAGAAACGGCAGGATTACCCAATACAGCATGAGGTCACCGCGTGGTGCTGTTAGCTTTCAACTAAAAACTACTTTTCTGTTTAATATGTCCCGATTCATCTCTTTATAATCATAATTCATAATTCATCTATATATATATCTATATATATATATATATACACACACATCTCTCCCTGGATTAATCAGTCTGATTTATGATCTAATTTATCCAGTCCTGATGATTTATTTTTCTTTAATCTTGTAAATAATAAATAAAAGCTTTAGACTGATAGATGTTTTTTGAAGTTTAGTAATAAAACCATTTGAAGGACCCTCATCAGACTAACCAACCTCAGTGTCAGAGACAGAACAATGGGTTCTTAAAGAACAAACGTGCTCACATTTCAACATTAACGCCTGTCATTTTCAGACTTCTGTTAAASTTTAAACATCTCAAAGGATAAAGAAGAGTTGTTAAATGAACATGTTGTTAATTATTGATGGATTTAATTTATCGCTCTGTCACGTCTCACTGCTCTGCTGCAGACTTTTACATCTGATGGAGCTGAAATAACAGTGAAGACAAACAAAAACAGAAACTAAAGATTAAACTTCAACAAGCTCTTTATTTTGACCTGTGTGATTACAGCCACTGTGGACCTGACACTAACGTCCAGAATCAGAACCAAGTCCATGTCYCACAGAGGAGCAGACCGTTCACACACAGGAAGTGATAAAAAATAAAAAAATAAACCATGTAAGAAAAACATCAGAGCAATCCTCTCAGACAGGAAGTCCTCCAGTGTCTCATGAGTCTGTTCCAGTTTTTATATTTCTGAGAGGACCACAGTCAGCTCAACACAACACATTTATCCAGAGTTTGTCTGGAGTTTCTCCAGAGTTTCTCCGGTGTTTCTCCAGAGTTTGTCGGTCCATGTTCCTCCTCTCTCAGCAGCAGCTGACTGTAGGAGCTTCATGTTGGCAGATCTTGTGTTTACGGTGCAGAAGAGGCTCCTCTCCTCCACTGGGGAATGATTAATGTTGAAGCAGAGCAGCAGTTTCCCATGATGCTTTGCTGCACCTGGAGGGAAGCTGCAGGAGAGGGTGGGCGCTCAGGCGTCTGAGTCCTCGCTGCTGTCGCGGCTGATCTCGATCTGAAGCGAGGGCAGGTTGTCCAGTCGGCTCTTCTTCAGCTTGTGGCTCAGACGCTCCTGTTTCTTTTTGATCATGGCGCCCCACACCTTCTGCAGCGTGGAGTCGTCCTCCTCGTCCTCCTCTTCCTCCTCCTCGTCACCTCGTTTACTCCTGCTCTTTGAGGAGAACAGCCCCTCGGAGCGGCCCCCTGCCCTGCGGTCGTGACGTTTGGCACCGCCGTCCTCGGCGCCGCTCCCTGAGCCGAGCCGGCTCCACAGACTGCCTGCAGCTGGAAACAAACAGGAAGTCTGAGTCCCTCAGAAAACATTTACCAAAATAAAACTCAGCTTTGAAGAATCAATCAGAGGAACACATGCATCAGCTGCAGAACTTATTGTTATTTTTGTTTCCTGTGCTGTTTATGTTAAATCACCTGGTTCAGTCTTTGTTTAGGTTTTATTGTGTGAATTAATTATTTAACTAACTAACTAACTAACTAACTAAAATTATTTAACTAACTGACTGTGTTTTAAAGATGTGTGTGAATTAATTATTTAACTAACTAACTGTGTTTTAAGGATGTGTGTGAATTAATTATTTAACTAACTAACTAACTAAAATTATTTAACTAACTGACTGTGTTTTAAGGATGTGCGACGTGTTTCTTCATACTTGTCTTCCTGTCTTTGGACGACTTCGAGTAGACCACCCTGTTGTCCTGGCTGGCCACGCCCAGTCTACGATGCACGCTGCTGATTGGCTCTCTGGTTGGAGGCGTGTCCTGGGAGGAGACCGGGGATGGGGAGCGCCTTCTCTTCCCGAGCCGCTGCCGGACATCTGCAGACAGATTCAGAGTCAGAACCGTCCAGGTTCTGGTCCAACACCTGGTTCTATCAGCTCACCTGTGGTCCGGCTGCTGGTCACAGGTGAGCGCTGTCTCTGCTGAGAATGACCCTGTCGCTTCTCCTCCAGCAGCTGACGGACGTCTGTCACCTTAGGGGGCGACAAAGACTTGGTCCTGGTCTGTGATCCCGACACACCGATCCTGTTTCTGTCAGACACACAAAAACTCCTGTTCAGACTCAAAACAGTACAGATCCATACAAACCTGAAGTGTTCAACACAAACAGGAGNCATACAGTAAGGGGCAGGTCCCATACAGGAAGGGGCAGGTCCCATACAGTAAGGGGCTGGTTCCATACAGTAAGGGGGTGGTTCCATACAGTAAGGGGCTGGTCCCATACAGTAAGGGGCTGGTCCCATACAGGAGGGGGCAGGTCCCATACAGTAAGGGGCTGGTTCCATACAGTAAGGGGCTGGTTCCATACGGACAGGTTCCAAACAGGAGGGGGCTGGTCCCATATGGACAGGTTCCAAACAGGAGGGGGCTGGTCCCATATGGACAGGTTCCAAACAGGAGGGGGCTGGTCCCATACGGACAGGTTCCAAACAGGAGGGGGCTGGTCCCATACGGACAGGTTCCAAA